CTTACCAGTTTCAGCACCACGCGGTGACCTGATATCGTGAAACCAGCAGGGGAGTCTTGAGCTGACTAAAAGGTAGTCAATCTGACTGTTCGTATGGTCGTAGTTTCAGTACCAGGTTAGCAGATGTTTGTTGTGGTGCTGGAAGCACGTGTTTGTTAAAAATAGTCGGTTCCGACCGGCAAAGTTCAGCAATCCTTCACAATTCTCACATCGAGAACCGAGCTCAAAGTGGCCGATAAGATAACTGTTTTTGGAGTCACCAGGCCCGGTACGGCCATTCCAGTCCCCGGCCACAATCAGCAGATCGCGGCGAGGGAGCCTTAAAACCAAAGTTTGCAGTTGCGAGTACATCATCTCCTTATCGCGCTGGTCAACTGCGGAGGTTCGTGCGACGACAGATATGTTTTTGAAGTGACCTTTCAATCGCACGAAAGCCATGCGTTCAGTGACTGGTTTCCAGGCAAGTAGTGCACAGCTCGGTTGTTGCGAGAGGGCAATTGCCACACCATGTCTGCCGGATGAGTCATGTGGGCCACTGTGCTATAAGGTAAAGTAAGAGTTAGCTTCAGGAATCTTTATTTCCTGAGCGCCTAAGTCATGAAGTCAGACTTCGGACAGGCAGCAGACATCTATGTTGTACTGATGAAGGCTGCGCACCGTCAGGCTTTGGGTACCAAGGGACAGGAACGTTCGCACATTGCAGCATACAATACTACGTGTCCGATTCCGATTGAATAATCCAGCTCGCATTCTATTCGCCCGCACCACTGTACCAGGCTTGCGGAGCAAGTCGGTTCCAGCGGATGGCGTAGCATGGATCGTAATGTAGTTATCGGACATAGTTTTTTTATGAGGTTTCTTGGGCTTTGTGAGTACGGACGGGTCCCCAACGGCCGCTCGATTGTTCGACATTGTTTCCTCTAGCGCTTTGCGTCAATAGCCTAATCACAAGGCAGCGGTGGAAAGCAAATTTACGTTCGCCATGTCACAGCGCCGTCGTCAGGTTTTGCGACAGTTTATAGGCTTTTGGCTTTCTAGACTTCAACCGCCGCGCCCTAGTAACGTTGCCGTTGCTCATCCGCGACTGTTTACTCGCCAGACCGGAGAGTCTGCTTATTTCACAGGTAACCTTCATTGAAGGTCGTTCCGCTGTCCGCCGCCTGTGGACGCGCCGGGTAGCCAGCAGCTAGGCTATCGGGTAACCCGCCGTCCTTATCCCCGCCGCATTTTAATTAAGGTTCGCTGTTACAGGAGGAGTTTGGAAACTCTATTTTCACAAGCTTCTATCGTGAACATGCCCACAGGAATGGATACTCCTGTAACTCAATTAAGAGGAAAATCACCGAAAATAGTAGTCATTTTCATTGCCTTCTCCTCTTTGTTATCCTCATCCTTTCTTATCTTTCTTTCTCCTCCTGTCGATAAAAAGGTCATAACACAACCTTATTAGGACTGTTGCGCGCCATCATATATGTCAACCCCCTGTCTAGCATACCCCTGTATCTCTAAACTCGTGTGCTTGCGCTTAAGAGGAAAAGACAACTGTGCAAACAGCCGAAGCTCCTCCTGAACCATAAAGATTCTCTCCGCTTAGGACAGGCCTTCCGTAGACTACTTCGAACCC